ACCCCCAAGGCTTGAAGGTGGCTGCAGGGTGGCCCCGAGGGGCTCCTCGGTGGCTCTGCACGGGGTCGGAGAGCGGCGAGGACTGCCGTGCCTTTCCCCCCGACGGGCTTCCGAGAGGGGCCCGAGAGGCGCGCCCAGAGGGGCAGGGCCCAGCGCACCCTCAGTGATTAGCCCAAGAGGGCCCCAGCTGGGCTCCAAGATGGCCCCCGAGACGGCTCCGGCACTGCCGAAGAGCGCCCCAGGAGGGCCCTGCTCTTCCCCCCCGGATCGCGCCTGGACCCCCCAAGAGGGCCCCGCGAGGCCCCTTGGACCCCCCAGGATGGCCCTGAGGAGCCCCCAAGAGAGGGCCCACGAGAGCCCAAGATGGCGCTGCTGGCCTCGAGAGGGCATCAATGCAGCACAAGCCCCAGTGGCACGCCAGCGGCAGAGCCAGCAGCAGCGCAGCTAGCAGCAGCAGCAGCAGCAGCAGCAGCAGCAGCAGCAGCAGCAGCAGCAGCAGCAGCAGCAGCAGCAGCAGCAGCAGCAGCAGCAGCCAAGAGAGGTAAGTACAAACAATCAGTCAGCAACAGCAGCAGTAATCCCAAGAGAGCGCCAAAACAGCCCAAGAGGGCTCTCAGGACCAACTACCGGAACAGCCAGCGACCGCTGCAGGCCAACAGCCAGGACAGCAACAGCTAGGAGAGGCACTCCTTAGTAAACAGCAGCAACATCAACCAGCACCAAGCATAATTTAGTAGCAGCATGAACCCGCAGCAGCCAGATGTAGCGCGAAACATCGAGATGCAACATCGGCAAGCAACACATACTTGCCAACAACAGCAAGCCGCAGAACGTAGCGGAAACCAGAAGCAAGCATCCGATCGTAGGAGCATTGCAATCAGGATGCCCACCGTGAATTCAATCCACGGGCGCAGGCTGGTCAGCTACAGCGCTGGGATCAGCGCGTGCGAGAAAGGCGAGCAGTGGCAGCGAGCTCTGGCGCTGCTCAGGGAGATCTGGGAGGTGAAGTTGGAACCCGACGTGACGAGCTACAATGCCGTGGTCAGCGCGTGCGGGAAGTGCAGCCAGTGGCAGCGCGGCCTGTCGCTGCTCGAGGAGGTGGCGGGGGCTGAGTTGGCGCCCGATGCTACCGCTTCTGCAGTGCCGGGCGGGCCGCGTGCCAGAAGGGTGCCCGGAACAGGCAGATCAGAACTGGCCGATGTGCCCAGGCGCGCTCCCCCGGGCTCCCCGGGGGCGCTCCGAGACGGCCCCAAGATGGCCCCCAGAGGCAGCTCAAGCGCGTTCTCCAAGAGCGGCGCTGGACCGCTCCGCTCGAGGAGGGCTCCATGGAAGCTCAAGCACAAGCCGAGGCGGCACAAGACGGCCTCCGGACGGCCTGAGGGGGCCTCCTAGGGCGCCCCAAGACGGCTGAGAGGGGACCGCTCGGAGAGCCTCCAGTAAACTGGGTTCGACGGATTCCCTCCCCCCCCCCCCCCCCCCGCGGTTTGGGACATGTTGCGAAGGCCTTACTGCCGGTGCCGCCGACCCTGGAGGCCTCGGCCCTCGACGCAAATGGGAGGGAGAGGGCGGGCCGGGAGGGTGGCATTCTGATCCGGGACCGCCCCCCGGACAGCCTGAGGGGGCCCGCGGCTCCGCGGGAAACCGCTCGGAGAGCCCCCCGGAGCCAAAGCGAGGGAGGACCCCCCCCCCCCCCCCCGCGGTTTTGGACATCTTCGTGCACGCTCGCGTTTCTCATGGCCTCGGACGCCCAGGACAGCCCAGGGGAGGCCCCCGATATCGACCCCCGGAGGCTCGCCCCCCCCCCAAGAGGGCCCCAAAAGAGCACCCCAGACGACCCCACGACGGCTCAAGACGGCCTAAGAGGGCCCCTATAGAGGGCTCCACGACGGCCCCCAGAGAGCTCCGAGATGGTCGAAGAAATCGTCCAAGAACGCCTCGAGGCGGCCCAAGAGGACCTCCCGACGGCCCTGGCCCCCTCGGCGTGCCCCCCTCCCAAGAGGGCCCCAAGAGGCGGCCCGAGAGGCCCCCAGGACGGCCCAAGAGCACCCCATGACGACCCCACGACGGCCGAAGACGGCCCCACGAGGGCTCCCAGAGGGCTCAACGAAGGCCCCCCATTTAGCGCCAAGAGGGCCTCGTGCCCCATGGGAGCCCAATATGCTCCCTAGCTTGTTCCACTGGCTCCCCCCCCACCAATGCCGCCTTCAGAGTAGCCCAGGGCCAATACCTGACGCAGCAGCATCACCAGCGGTGCGCCCGCCGCGAGAGCAGCATTGGGCTGGCAGCGCAAGGAGGGGCATCGACGATTTTGCTTGCGTGGACGTAGTCCACGGATTAGCCCTCGTCTTCTACACTACAACGCTAGGGGATCCGTGTGCCAGAAGTGTGGGGGATCGATGTGATCAAAACTGGCCCTGGCTGGCTTCGGGGGGCTCCAGGACGGCTTCTGAGGGCCCCAAGATGGCCCAAGATGGCCCGAGTCCAAGAGGATGTGTTTCCGAAGAGTTTCAGCGTTCTCGCCTTCTCGGAGCCTCGACGCTCCAAGCGAGTTTCAGGGCCCCTTCGATCGCGCCGAGCTGGCCCAAGAGGCCCCAAAGATGGCCCGAGTCCAAGAGGATGTGTGTTCCGAAGAGTTTCAGCGTTCTCGCCTTCTCGGAGCCTCGACGCTCCAAGCGAGTTTCAGGGCCCCTTCGATCGCGCCGAGCTGGCCCAAGAGGCCCCAAAGAGAGCTCCCAGGCAGCCCAAGAGGGCCCCAAGGCGGCCCAACAGGCCCCCAAGACGGCCCCAAGAGGTCCCCACGAGGGGGAACTCGAACTGGCATTTAGCGCCCTCCGCTCCAAGATGATCCCAGAAACCGCCAGCTGGCACCCGAGAGGCTCCCAGACGGCCCAGAAGGCGCCACAGTGCCGGAATATGGCCCAAGAGGACTCCAAGAGGCCCTCAAAACGGGCCCCCAGAGGCCAGAACACGAAGTTCCCATTGCTTCCGAAGGGCTTCCGAATGCTCGCCTTTTCGGAGTCTCGACGGTCCAAGCAGGCCCCAGGGCACCGAAGATCGCGTCGCGATGGTCCAAGCAGGCCCCCAGGAGAGCTCCCAGACAACCCACGCGGGCCCCTAGAGGGCCCCCAGGGCGGCCCCCGCTCGCCCCAAGACGGCCCCAAGACGGCCCCAAGAGGGCCCCGCGAGGGGGGACTCGAGCTGACATTTCGCGCCCTGCGCTCCAGGATGGTCCCAGAGCCCGCCAGCTGGCCCCCAAGAGGCCCCCCAGACATCCCAGAAGGCTCCCGCAGAGGCCCAAATCAGGTCCCAGGAGGCCCGAGATGCCGCAAGACGCCCCCCAAACCGCCTCCAGGAGAGGCTTCTGAGGGAAGGTCCCTCGGAGAGCTCTGGGGCCGCGCCGGCCACCCAGGAAAAGAAGGCGCCCATGAGACTCTTGGTTTCTCCCGTCTTTTGCCAAGGCTCCAGTCTGACTTTCTCCCCTCTCGGACAGATTTCGTTGCCAGTAGGCCACGGGTCAGCAATGGTCAGCTACAGCGCAGGCATCAGCGCATGCGAGAAAGGCGAGCAGTGGCAGCGAGCTCTGGCGCTGCTCAGAGAGATGTGGGAGGCGGAGTTGGAGCCCAGCGTCATCGCTTCTGCATCGCTGGCAGCTGCGCTGTTGAAGTATCCTGTTTTTCTCAGCTGTTCCGCACCTGTAGCACTTGGAGTATAAGCTGCCATGAGATTCCGAACTGTCTCCGGATCCTGCTCTAGCAAGTCTGTCTTCATGTTTCTTCCCCATGCCTCAGGCGCTCACGCACGATCACTCAACTGTTTGCCCCCTTTTCTCGCCTCGGGAGCCCTCAATCTGAAAGTGACGTAATGTGGTGAAGCTAGAATTAAGTCGGGCCTGTCCCTCTGAAGGAGGGGTATTCAAAAATAGTAAAAACATAGTCAGGGGACGATTGTTTGACTATATTGTTTCGAGTCTGTTTTTTTTATTTGTAGTCGAACATCTGCCTGACCCGTCCGACCTAAAGCTAAAACGTGGGCCCCTCAAACACTACTGGGAAGTAGGGGCTTGACTGAGCGAGACAACTCCCCTTCGCGCACGGGGGCATGGGGACCAGCTGCTCAAGCCCACATGGCTTAAGCGAGGGCAGGAGGATGATGATGATGAGGAGGAGGAGGAGGAAAAGGAGGAGGAGGAGGAGGAGGAGGAGGAGGAGGAGGAGGAGGAGGAGGGGAGAAGGAAAAGGAGGAGGAGGAGGGGGGAGGAGGAGGGAGGGGAAGGAGGAGGAGGAGGAGGAGGAGGAGGAGGAGGAGGAGGAGGAGAGGAGGAGGAGGAGGAGGAGGGGAGGAGGAGGAGGAGGAGGAGGAGGAGGAGGAGGAGAGGAGGAGGAGGGGGGAGAGGAGAGGAGGAGGGGAGGAGAGCGGAGAGGAGAGGAGGAGGAGAGGAGGAGGAGGAGGAGGAGGAGGAGGGAGGATGGAGGGAGGAGGAGGAGAAGGAGGAGGAGGAGGAGGAGGAGGAGGAGGAGGATGAGGAGGAGGAGGAGGCGGGGCGGGCGGAGGCGGAGGTGGAGGAGAGAGGAGGAGGATGAGGAGGAGGAGGAGGAGGAGAGGGAGGAGGAGGAGGGAGGAGGAGGAGGAGGACGAGGGGGACTAGGAGAGGAGGAGGAGGCGAGAGGAGGAGGCAGAGAGGAGGAGGAGGAGGCGGAGGCGGAGAGGAAGAAGAGGAGGAGGAGGAGGAGGAGGAGGAGGAGGGGGGAGGAGGAGGAGGAGGAGGAGGAGGAGGAGGAGGAGGAGGAGGAGGAGGAGGCGGAGGCGGAGGCGGAGGTAGAGGAGGAGGAGGAGGAGGAGGTGGAGGAGGACGAGGAGGAGGGGGAGGAGGATCAGAGTACACTCAAGGTGTTTCCACGGGCTGCGAGCACACTCCCATCCCGAGTCCCCCTTGTCAGTTTGTCTCTATAGGCACGCCCCTTCAGTGCTCGCAGTGCTCCCCCCCCTGCAAGGCGAGCTCCCCATGAGCCCGCAGTGCACGCGGGAGCTGAGTCTTGAAAGAAGCTGCCGTCCATATGCTCGAATTTATACAGTTCTTTAGGGATGGCCCAGCGACAGCCTCGCTTTGACAAGGAAGCGCGCTTCATTTATATACGTATTACTTGGCATCGCTCCGGCGTAGCATTCTGCATCATCGTGCATACAACGCACACGACACCGAAACATGCAGGGGAAGTGGACGTCCGGGCGACGGCAAGTATAATAGACTACAGATTCTGGAGTCTACTATCCCGTGGCCTTCGGCCCATGCCTGCCACCGTGCCTAGGGTGCAGCTGAGAGGCCTCTTGGATGCCCGTGGGGATCTCGCGGGAGGCCGCTCGACAGCCTCTCGGATGGCGGTTTTGGGGGCGTCTTGGAGCCTCTCGGGACCTTTGGGGGGCCTCCCTGGGGCCTGATGTGGGCTTCTCCGGGGCCTCCTGGGGCTCCTGCGTGGCCCTGTGGGGGCCTGCTGGCGGTCACTGGGGTCCTCTTGGGGCGGAGGGCGCGACATGCCGGTTCGAGTTCCCACTCGTGCTGCCCTCTTGAGGCCCCTCTGGGGGCCTCTTGGGCCGTCTCGGGCGACTATTGGGGCCGTCTGGGGGCCGTCATGGGGCGATCTTGCATGCCTCTTGGGCCGTCCTGGAACGTCGGGAGCCCGAAGGGGCGGGCGGGAAAGCTAACCTCCTTCGAGCACCGTAGGGCTTTGAGCCTCTCGGGGCCCTGCTGGGGGCCCTTTGGGGTCCTCTTGAGGCTTCCTGTGTGCCTCTTGGGCTGTCTGGAGGCCGTCTTGGAGCCCTCTGGGGCCGCTTCCCGTGGGCAGTCCTGGAGCCCTCTGGGTCCGCCTCGGGGCGCCCTCTTGCACCCTCGAGGGCGCTTCTCTCAGGCCAGAGGACCGGCGGGAAGCACCCGGGCACTCACGGGAGAACCGCCCCGGAAGGCTCCGGGACGGCCTGGAATCCGCGGACGACATGTGTGCACCGTGGCGCGCTGGCGCCTCTCGAGGCGTCGCCGATCCTCGACCCAGGGATGGTACGGTGCACAGGTTTTTGGCCCCCGGAATAGGAGAATGATGCACCGTCTCGCGCTGGGGCGGGGCCTGGGGGGAGTCCAGACGTGGTGCGGTGCATAGGCGCCGTCCTCGTAGGGAATTCCAGGAGTGCCGGCCTCCTACGAACCTGGAAGCTCGGCTGAAGCGGCAGCACAGGTGTGAGCCTCGGAGAACTTCGTGGTGCCGTGCCAGAAAAGTCATGCGAGGGGCCCGTTCTGAGAGGGGACCGCCTTCGATGCGTTGGAAAGGTTATGCACTTTGATCGCGGTAGCAGCGTTTTGTTGGGGGAATCTCAGGCGATAACACCATTTGAAAAGGAGCCACACTCCATCCGTGTAATGGTTGGAAATGTTCAAGACGAGTGTGCGCGGCGCCAAGGCAATAGCTTCACTTTGAACGTCCGTATAGTGTCAGGAAGAGGAGGAGGAGGAGGAGGAGGGGAGGAGGAGAGGAGGAGGAGGAGGAGGAGGAGGAGGAGAGAGGAGAGGAGGAGGAGAGGGGAGGGAGAGATGAGAGAGGAGGAGAGGAGGGAGGAGGAGGGAGAGGAGAAGGGAGAAGGAGGAGGAGGAGGAGGAGGACCAGGAGCAGGAGGACCAGGAGCAGGAGAGGATGAGCGGAGCAGGAGGAGGATGAGGAAGAGGAGGAGGAGGGGAGGAGGGGAGGAGGAGGTGAGGAGGAGGAGGAGGAGGAGGAGGAGGAGGAGGAGGAGGAGGAGGAGGGAGGGAGGGGGGTTGTCCAAGGTGGCATGGAGCAGGGTCTTCCGCAGTGCTCGCCATCCCTCGGCCGCTCCGGCCACGCCCCAGACCATTTGCTGCTGCCCCTATCGCGTCCCCCGACACCCCGCCCCCCCCCCTTTGCCTCCGCTGGGCCTCCCTCCCTTGCTTGGTGGCCTTCCCCAAGCTCGTCTCCCAGCTCCCTCGCTCGCGGTTGAGGCTTCCTGAGCCTGGGTTGGTCAGCCGCCCGCGTGGCGGTGGAGCGGACCCAGGCCATCTGCTGACACCCCTTATATTGGGTTTCTTAGTAAGCGTGGGGGGTACCCCCGACGGGGGTCAACCTCGCCTCATCGTCGCGCTGCGACGGGGGTCGGAGCGCCTCCGGCGCGCGGCTGCTGCCCGCGAGTCGGGGGTCGATGTGGGGCCGTCGGCGGGGGTGACGACCCCCCCGACGCACATCAAGAAGCTCGGAGTATGGTGGCCGCGCCCACCACCATGGGTGCATGGTGGGCTCGAGCCTCGCGGTTAAATTCGCTCCAGGAGGAGGAGGAGGAAGAGGAGGAAGAGGAGGAGGAGGAGGAGGAGGAGGAGGAGGAGGAGGAGGAGGAGGAGGAACAGTGGGCTCGAGACTCGCGGTCAACTTCGCTCCAGGTGCATCCGCCGAGCGCCCCCCTCTTGGCCAGCCAGCGGCGCGCGGCGGCCGACCAGAAGGCCAAGCATCCGCGAGGAGGCGGCCCTCCCAGGAGGCGCTCCGAGCGCACACGCGCGGGGCGGCATTGGCGCTCGGCATCGGCTCGCCCCTGGCTCTTGCTTGAAGTTCCCCGCGCTCGCCTCGGAGGCAGGGGCGGCCCAAGAGGCATGTATCTGCCTGTGCTCGTTTTTTATGCGTTGTTCTGCCCATCGGCGCGGACCCTCGCCCCCCCCCCCCCCCCCTCCCCCCCTATGGAGTAGATCTTGGCTGTTTTCCGTGCCCGTTCCGAGCGGGTGGAGTCTCCCCCAGAGGCAGCAGTCTTGCAAACAGTCGACTAAGTTCAGGTCTGGAGCCAGAACCCCCCCCCCTCCCCCCCTTTTCGTCCAATGTCGAAACGCCGAATAAAAAACACTCACCTTGCTGTTCAGCTACAGTGCAGGGATAAGCGCGTGCGAGAAAGGCGAGCAGTGGCAGCGGGCCCTGGCGCTGTTCAGCGAGGTGTGGGAGGCGAAGTTGGAGCTCGATCTCATGTATGCTGATCGCGCCCGGCGCTTGCGAGAACTGCAAGCAGTTGAAAGCCTGCACCGCAGTCAAGCTCAAGAGATGAGTATACGGTTTAACGCATTTCGTTTCCCATGCGTTTCGTCTTCGCGAACTCTCAACAGGGCTCCCGAACAGCCCAATATTGCCGGAAGGAGGCCCCAAGCAGGGCCAAGCGGCTCCAAGAGGGCCCTTTGAACTTGCTCGACAGGGGTCCTGAGAGTGTCTTTGGAGACTCACAATAAGGTCCAAGTGAGCGCCCAGATGGCTTCATGGAGCAGCTCAATGATCCCAGCTCGCGCCAAGTTGGCCCAAGAGGGCCCAAGAGGCTTCAAATGGGCCCAAGAGGCCCACGACAGGCCCACGAAAGGGTTCTCAAGATAGCCCAAGAGGACCTCAAGAGAGCTGGCAGACATCTTAGGAGAGCCCCATACCCTTTCAAAGGCCCCAAGACGGCCCAAGAGGCCCCAAGAGGCTGAAAGAAGCCCACAGGAAGCAGACAGCAACATGCGGCTGGCACGTCCGCAGCAGCGCTTCCCGTTGTGGCTGAGATAAACTCTGTCGGGCCTCGTGGCCCTGGAAAAGTGTCGCGTGGAGCGCGGATTGACACCCTGGTGGGAAGGTTGAGGGGAGACGCGTTTGGGTTCGAGAAGCGAGCGGTGCTCCCGTGAACGATGCAGGCCGGCGCTGTTTCGTATATCTTGATGACCAGCGCTGACATCAAGATGCTGGCAAGGCGGCTCAAGCGGGCCCCAAGAGTCATGGTCGTGTTTTCCACCACCACCACCACCGTAAGTTGGAGGGGGGAAGGAGGTGGAGGATGAGGAGGAGAACGAGGAGGAGGAGGAGGAGGAGAAGGAGGAGGACCCCTCCTCCTTGGTGGAAAACAAGCCCACCAAAGGGTGCGCCCAGATGTCGGACAACAAATGTACAAGACGGCCAGATGGGCCCGCTCGCCCCCGCTTGGGTGCATGGAACTGAGCGCGGCGTCTCGCCCAGGCCGTCGTGTTCCCGGCGCGCTCAGGCGTGCTGTCCAAGCGTCCGGGAGGCCATCGAATCGGACGAGGGCTTCAAATCTGCGACCAATTGCGACCCCTGCGGGTCTACTCGACGCTGGGGTGTCGCCTTGGCTGCCGGCATCCTTCGAACTCTGAACCTCAGCCGGCGTTTCGGAAGTCCGACCTTCATGGGTAGGGTTCGCATGTCGCTGCCACTCGGAGATACCCTAGGAGGCCGCAATCAGAATAGCAATAATACAAAGAAAAGAGAAGTCACCAACCAGACCCAAGAGGGCATCAAGACAGCCCCGTAGACAAGTCCAGAGGGTCACATGAGGCGCCCCCGCCAGCCGTAAGAGGGCGCCAAGGGTGCCTATGAGGCTCCAGGAGGAAGTGCCATTTGTGTTCCGGGAATCCGCGGCAGCATTGCCAGTCGCAGCAAGAGAGCAGGCCGCAGAGCCAGCCGCAGCAGGGCAGCTGGGAACGCCAAGCAGCAGTCAGCATCAGCATGCAGAGCGATCAATCAGCGGCATCAAGAAGAAACAGTGGGAAGACCCGGCAATCAGTACACGTGCCGACAACCAACACCACGCAGCGGCAAGTGTCGTACGCACCGGGCAGCAGTCGGCAACACGCGAGCAGCAACCCGCAGCAGCAAGCAGAAGCAGCACGCTGGCCACAGCAAGCAGCAGTGCGCAGCCGCGAGCAGATACAACCAGGAGCAAGCAGCACGAACCAGCCGCACGCGGTAATGAAGGGTGGCAAGCGGCGGCGAGCGGGAGCGAGCTGCAGGTCCGTGCAGACTTTGCCTTCGTGAGCGCATCCCTTGGTCCCCCTGGTCTTCTACCAGCTTGATGCCCAGGGCAGCGCGTGCCAAAGGGTGCTCGCGCAAGCAGCCGCAATTCGGCCCGACCAGCCCTGATGGGCCTGTTTTCCACCACCACCACAAGTTGGAGGGGGGAGGAGGAGGAGGACGAGGAGGAGGAGGAGGAGGACGAGGAGGAGGACGAAGAGGAGGAGGAGATAGAGGAGGAGAGAAGGAGGAGGGGAGGAGGAGGAGGAGGAGAGGAGGAGGAGGAGGAGGAGGAGGAGGAGGAAGAGGAGGAGGAGGAGGAGGAGGACCCCCTTCCCCTCCAGCTTGTGGTGGTGGTCGTGGTGGTGGTGGTGGTGGTGGTGGTGGTGGAAAACAAGCCCATCAGGCCCCAGCGCGACCCCAGGACGCTCCGAGACGGCCCAGCAGGGCCCCAGGGGGATCCCCAGGAGACGGACCGAGAGGGGCTCCTGGCGGCTGGCGAGGCTCGGAGGCGGCCCAGGGAGCCCCAGGACTTCCCAGGAGAACCCCCCAAAACGGCCCAAGGAAGGCCTCTGTCGCAGGCCTAGAGGTTGACGCCAACACTCAAGCAGTGGCGAAGCGTCCTGGCGTGCCTATACGCCTTCCCAAAAATGTTCTAAAACCTTTTGTGGTTTCCACGGGATGTTCTTAGAACATGTCGTGGTAGGCCTATAGAAATGCTGGGACTGTCGGTCCCTGCTCAAAGCACAAGTATCGGCGCCGTGCCTCCACGAGAAAATAAGGTCCCGATCTCGGTGATGGTGGTAATACTCTGGCTTCCCAAGGTGGCCGAGATATTACCACCAGCATCGAAATCTAGGACCGTCTTCCCCCTGTGGAGGCAACCACCTGTCTTGGTGTTGGTGCCCATTTCCAGGCCTCCAACTCTGGGCGGCCCAAGGAGCCCCAGGGATGCTCCAAGAAGGCTCCCAGAGCAGACCCCCGTGAGAGCTCCCAAAAGCAAAACATGATGTTCTTCTTTAGTTTTTGGATGGGCTCTTGTAAGCTTAGGCTCGCTTGTTCAGCCCTCAGGACGCCCAGGGGGGGCCCAAGAGGCCTCCGAGATCGTGAACGATGGCCTAGCATGCCGCCGGGAGGCCCCAAGCAAAGCCTTGCGGTATCCCAGGACGGCCCATGAGGCCCTCTAGACGGTTCCGCCTGCCACTAGCATGTCCCAATGGCCGCCCCAATACTGGCCCCGAATGCCCCCCTAAATTGGACCCAGTATGACCTCACGAGCGGTTCAAGATGGACCAAGTGTTTTGCCACGCGCGCGACGAGGCCATTGGGAGATTCGTGCCCTGATCGTCCCTCAAGCCTCCCTCTCCCCTCCCCGCTCTTTGCTCCAAGCTCTTCGCTCCCTGCCCTCGCCCACTGGTCCTGGCTCCTCGGTCCCTCCCTCCTCCTCCTCCTCCTCCTCCTCCTCCTTCTCCTCCTCCTCCTCCTCCTCCTCCTCCTCCTCCTCCTCCTCCCTCTCGCCTCGTTCCTTGCTCCTCGCTTCTCGCTCCATCGCTCACTTGCCCTTCGCCGCTGGCTCCTGGCCCCTCTTGTCTGCTCTCTCCCCCCCCCTTCCCCAGCCTCGGCTCTCCCTCCTCCCTGGCCGCCGCTCCTCCATCCTCGCTCCTCGCTCCTGGCCTGTCCCTCCTCCCTCCCCGATCCAGGCTCCTCGCTTCTGGCTCCCGGGTCCTCTCACCGGCAGCAGGTTGCGCCAGCAGCCGGCATTCGCGAGAAGCAGCACCATGCAGCACCATGCAGCAGCAGGCGGCAACAGCGAGCAGCAGTGGCACGCAGCACGGGGCAAGCGGCAGCAACGACAGCACAGCAACAGCAAGCACCAACATTCAGCAGGCAGCAAAAGCAGCATGCAGCGCAGCGTCGCAAGCAAAATTGGCAATCAGCAGCACCCTACAGCCACAAGCTGCAAGAGTAAACAGCAGCGGCAAGCATTACCAGCATCACGCAATACCAGTAGCAAGCCTTTCGACGCAGTGGCAGACACGCGGCATCACCCAGCAGCAAACAGCAGCACGCAGCAGCGCAAAGCCGCTTCACGCAACAGTGCGCAATGGCCAACACCAGCGTGTAGCTGGAGATGAAAAGCAGCATGTCAATAGAGGATTGCAGCAAGCAGCACCAGGCATCGGCAAGCGGCAGGAAGCGGCATATACCGAGCGGATCAGCAATGAAACAATTATTCAGTAAGTAGGCCAGCAGGCCAAGTGCTAGTATGCCACCAAGCTCGCAACCACGCGAACATGACATCATGGACAGTCTGCGAGCAGAACCAGTCAAGCGATCCTCGCCCCTGCATGCGATTGAGCTTGAGCGGGCAGCGGTCCACGGGTTAGCCCTAGTCAGCTACAATGCCGGGATCAGCGCGTGCGGGAAAGGCGAACAGTGGCAGGAGGCCCTGTCCTTGCTCAGCATGGTGTGGGAGGCAAAGCTGGAGCCCAGTGTCATCTCTACGCGCTGCCACAGAAGCCGCCTATCATGATGTGGGCGACCAGGGCGAGATCTGGATGCACATGCAGTCCCACGTCTCTCCAGCGCCCGGCCACTGTCTGGCCAGTTGGGCCAGAACTCCGCTGACCCAGCGCCTGTCCTCCGCACGCTCCACACGCGAGTCCAGCCGTGCGAGCCTTCCAGCCTCGTGGTGCACTTCCAGGCCCACTGCGCGCGCGAGAGACGCAAAGGGCGGGAATGCGAGAAGCAAGTCTCCATTTCTGGAGACATCCACGCTGCCACACGGATGAGAGCATGTGCGACTCGGGATCACAACCACACGGCCGAGAAGGTATGGCATCCGCTGCAGATCGGCCTTGAACTGCGCCGCCACGCTTGCAGCCATGCACCTGCGGCAACGCTGCCTAGGGGCGGGGCGGCCTCCCGTCCTCCTTGGACCTCCTGGGGGCTTCTCGTCTCGACGATCCTCGGGACGTGTGTTGGTCCAATGTGTGTGTTTACCCCCCTTCAGCCCAACCAGCAGATCATTGCATCGCCTGCGTCGTATCGAAGGGCCTCGAGGACAAGCAGACGCTTGGGCCAGCGCACGTTCTGAGGATCATCGATCGTCGCTCCAGCGGGACGCGGCTCGAACAAGTGGTGCGTTTGGATCCCGAGATGGGTCTGGGGACCGATTAGGAGCGGATTTGGCCTTATCCTCTCCCCGTCGGATGGGTACCCCCACGCTTACTCAGAAAACCGGAGTGTTTTTTAATTCCGTTTTTAGCGTCGACTAGCGTCGATTAGAGTCCGGGAGTCGATGAGATAGCGCCAGTTTAGCGTCGGCTACCGTCGATTTAGCGTCGATTCGCAAGAGCCGACAAGGTGGTATGGGAGGCTCCCGTGAGGTGTCACCGAAGCCTCCTGCGTGCCAGAAGGGCCTGTGACTCAACTGGGGTTTTCCAGGCTCTTGCGGGCCCGGGCCAATCTTGCAACAACCCGAGCATGACAATATGGACAGTATGCGAGCAGAACCAGTCAAGCGTTCCTCGCCCCTGCGTGCGATTGAACTTGAGCGCGCAGCAGTCCACGGGTCAGACCTAGTCTACACTACAACGCAGGGACACGTGCGTGCGGGAAGTGCGGGCGCTGGCGGAGCGTAACCGGCCCCCCTGGTCGCCCCACGACGGCCCGAGACGCACTAGATGGCCACAGAGCGCCCAAGAGGGCCCAAGAGGGCCTTCGACTAGGTCCCACATCGCTCCGAGATGCCCAAGCTAGGCACCAGACGGCCCAAGAGTCCTGAGAGACGCTCCAAGTCGGCTCCAGGACGAGCCCCCCAAAAGCCAGATCAATGAAAAATCGTTCAAATTCCTAGGGAAAACGAGCCTTTTTCCATGTCCACTGCTTTTCGTCCACTGCGATGCCCACACGGCCCTACTGGTCCTCTGGAAAGCCCCCTGGACGGCCTCTGGAAGCCTCTGGAAGCCTCCTGGACGCCCCTCTGCACACACCCCAACACGCCTCTGGAAGCCCCCTGGACGGCCCCAAGACGGCCCCACGATGACTCTTGAGGCGCCGATGGCAGCCCAAGAGGCTGCCACGACAGCGCCGCGACGGTCCCAAAACGAGTCAAGACGGCTCCGAGAGACGGCCCCAGAGGCGCTAAAGACGGCCCCCCACTGCCCCGAGACGGCCTCAGAGGCGCCCAAGAGGGCCCCAGACGGCCCCAAGACAGCCCAAGAGGCACCCCAGACAGCCCCGGCGGGTCCTGGGAGGCCCTGATGCGGCACCCAGGGAGGGACAAAGACGCGCCGAACGGCCCCGAATAGGTCCACAGCGCCTCTCCGAGCCACCATTGGTCCATCAGGAGGCCCTGAGTGCCCCAGACGCGCCCACAACGGCTTTACACATCCATGTCGGCGGTCGGATGCCCCAAGAGGCCTCAGAAAGTATCAGGAGGGTCCGAGGAACCCCCAGGAAGGCCCCAAGACGGGCCAAGACGGCCCCAGCACAACCCAAGGCGCGTTGCGACGGCTCAAGACGGCTCCAAGACAGCCCCAAGAGGGTGCCAACGCGGCCCCTGCTGGGTCCAGGTCGGCCCAACGAGGCGCACAGGAGGGGCCCAAGACGACTCCAAGGCGGCCCCCTCACGGCCCCAGACGGCTCCAAGACAGCCCCAAGATAGTGCCAAGAAGGACCCCGATGGGCCCAGGACGGCCTACGGACGCGCCCATGAGGGGCCCACGACGAACCAAGACGGCCCCACGGCAAACGGCGCCCTCAATACGGGCCTAGACGGCTCCAAGACGGCTCTTTGAGGGAGCCAACGCGGCCCCACACCCCTCGGGCGAACACTTGGGGGGACTGGGAACTTGCGACAAGTCTCCCACATTCATTGTCCTGCCCCATTCTGTTCGCCTGGAGGCCTCCTCCAACCCTGTGGGCGAACAAGAGGAAACTCAGCGGGCCGCCAACCCTGGGGCCCGTGGGCCCCGCGCCGCTTAGGCAGAAAACGAACGCCGGGTCTGACATTCCATATACCGCCCTCCTTTGCCCGATATGCTGTGCCACTCTGTTCCCCCAGGGGCCTTGGCAAACTCTTTGGGCCAACCAGACCGGACCCCTGGGACAGCAGCCAATTGATATGACCCAGGCACCTCTCCGCACTCTTCGGACCACAGACCCTCTGGGCGAACAGAATGGGACTTGGCGCACAAACCCTCCCGTTGGCGGCGATGCGACTGGATCGCACCATCAAGGCGTGCCTGGAGGTGATGGCCGACCCAACAGCGGTTTCTCTTAAGATTTTACTGAATTTCAAATTTTCTTTAAGCTCTCTTGGGCCCTCCCTGTAGATCCTTGCGAGCCTCCCCGACGCTTTCGGTGGTTTTCCCCGATGGCCTCCCGAGCTCTTCCCCAGGCGCTCCTGAGACGCTTCTGATGGGCTTCGACTTCGATGCACATCCCCGAGAGACTTCGAAACTGTCCTCAATAGGAGGGGGGTGAACGAGCAGTGCTCGGGGGCCAAGCTGCTGGAGCGCTGCAAGAGCTCGGACACGAAGGCGCGGTCTCGCTGCCGCCGCCCGAGCCGCCGCCGTGTTTGTAGATTTTCGGTGCAATCTGCGCCGTTCCTCCGAGAACCATTCCAGAAAGATGTCGTGGACGGAGTCCACGGGTCAGCCCTAGTCAGCTACATCTCTGGAATCTGCGCGTGCGAGAAAGGCGAGCAGTGGCAGCGGGCTCTGGCGCTGATCAGCGAGATCTGATCGGCGCTGATCAGCGAGATGTGGGTGCTGATTAGCGTGATCAGTGTGATCAGCTGATCAACGTCATCATCTCTACGAGGCCATGAGCGCCGCGTGCTAGAAGGATTCCAGGGTCAGGTGACTACAGACTGGACTGGCAGACCCTGGCGCGTTCTTGGGTGCCCCGGGCGGTCTCCAAGACGGCCTCATTGACTAGATTTATGATGTTCCAGCCTACTTTAGTCTTGATCACGAAAAAGAGTTTCGAGCACCAGAAAAGTGCCGAAATTCCATTGTTTTCACGTGTCGGGCCCTGGGAGACACTCGTTCGAAACTGTTTCGACACTATGTCGACACTCTTTCGACACTCTTCCAGGTGCTCGAAATTAATGTTGGGATGTGGTCCTTAAGTACGATGTGAACAACATAAGACTAGATGTGAGAATTGACTGGCTGCCACAAAAAACGCCTATCATGATGTGGGCGACCAGGGCGAGATCTGGATACACATGCAGTCCCACGTCTCTCCAGCGCCCGGCCACTGTCTGGCCAGTTGGGCCAGAACTCCGCTGACCCAGCGCCTGTCCTCCGCACGCTCCACACGCGAGTCCAGCAGTGCGAGCCTTCCAGCCTCGTGGTGCACTTCCAGGCCCACTGCGCGCGCGAGAGACGCAAAGGGCGGGAATGCGAGAAGCAAGTCTCCATTTCTGGAGACATCCACGCTGCCACACGGATGAGAGCATGTGCGACTCGGGATCACAACCACACGGCCGATCAGCAATGAAACAAGTATTCAGTAAGTAGGCCAGCAGGCCAAGTGCTAGTATGCCACCAAGCTCGCAACCACGCGAACATGACATCATGGACAGTCTGCGAGCAGAACCAGTCAAGCGATCCTCGCCCCTGCATGCGATTGAGCTTGAGCGGGCAGCGGTCCACGGGTCAGCCCTAGTCAGCTACAATGCCGGGATCATCGCGTGCGGGAAAGGCGAACAGTGGCAGCAGGCCCTGTCCTTGCTCAGCATGGTGTGGGAGGCAAAGCTGGAGCCCAGTGTCATCTCTACGCGCTGCCACAGAAGCTGCCTATCATGATGTGGGCGACCAGGGCGAGATCTGGATGCGCATGCAGTCCCACGTCTCTCCAGCGCCCGGCCACTGTCTGGCCAGTTGGGCCAGAACTCCGCTGACCCAGCGCCTGTCCTCCGCACGCTCCACACGCGAGTCCAGCAGTGCGAGCCTTCCAGCCTCGTGGTGCACTTCCAGGCCCACTGCGCGCGCGAGAGACGCAAAGGGCGGGAATGCGAGAAGCAAGTCTCCATTTCTGGAGACATCCACGCTGCCACACGGATGAGAGCATGTGCGACTCGGGATCACAACCACACGGCCGAGAAGGTATGGCATCCGCTGCAGATCGGCCTCGAACTGCACCGCCATGCTTACAGCCATGCACCTGCAGCAACGCTGCCCAGGGGCGTGGCGGCCTCCCGTCCTTCTTGGACCTCCTGGGGGCTTCTCGTCTCGACGATCCTCGGGACGTGTGTTGGTCCAATGTCTGTGTTTACCCCCCTTCAGCCCAACCAGCAGATCATTGCATCGCCTGCGTCGTATCGAAGATGGACAAGCAGACGTTGGGGCTAGCACACGTTCTGAGGATCATCGATCGTCGCTCCAGCGGGACGCGGCTCGAGAAAGTGGTGCGTTTGGATCCCGAGAGGGGTCTGGGGACCGATGGTGAGCAGATTTGGCCTCACGTATCCCCGCCTCTAGTGGCCGCTTCTCTCGGGGCCGTGCAGCGCAGACCCGTGGCCGCCTCCAGCTCGGTGCTCGGAACGCCCTGCTCACTGCTTTCCGCGCCACAGGGTCCAGAACTAGACAGTGAAGACCCATGCCAAGAAACACCCTTCTTGCTGGACTTCGATGGCTTTGCCATAGAAGGCGCGACGCTCCCACACCAAAAATCCACGGCCACGTATCTGTAACGTGAGGTGAGATGCAGCCAAGACTGGCGCAGCAGAGTGAACGACACAATGAATCAATACATACATAAATGGACACCCTGGGGTCTCAGGGTTGGGTTTCTTGCGGAAGGTGTCTTGTGGACTGGCCTCCGCTGAACCTGGACGCCCCCCCTGATCATCCTTTCCCTGCGCCCCCGCCGCGGCGCCGGCTTCCGAGGTCGTGCGCCCTCCCCGGGCGCGTCTCGCCGTGGCCCGCAGTCGGCTTCCGAGGGCTCCTCGCGCGCGTGCGCTGCGCGCGTGGTGCACGCCCGTGTCCCCGGCCTCGCGGCCTTCCTCGGCCGCGGCCCCGCGTTGATGTCCGGGCGGCCGTCTGCGCGGATGCCCCGTGCGGGGCGCATGTCCGTGGGATGTGCAGTCAGCCCGCGCAGTAAGGATGCCAAGGGTACCCTTGCATCCTTGCCTCCTCGGAAGCATCGAGAAGCATCGAAATGGCCCTTCAAGGCCCTTGCACGCATCCTTACTATACGGGTTGACTGTATCGTGGCCACGGGACCGCGCCGCGGAGGTCAGCACGCGCGATGGCACCAACAGGTCGGAGGCGATTTCTTGCTTGACGTCGGGCCTGTCCCTCTACAGGAGGCATATTCAAAAAAACAGTCTGGGCATGCTGTTTGGAGCATCCTTGCTGTGTGTGTTTTGTGTTGCTGTTGACTATTTGTTTGGTTCTTCGTCCAACATCCGCCTCCGCCCCGATCCACGAGTTCCCCTCCCCCCAGGCACTGGCCGCTCGGAACAGCAGCAGACCTCGAGGAGGCACCCGCAGGGGGCGGCCGTTCGGCCGCACCTCCGTCGGGGACGACCGCCCCCTCTCCCGGTGGGGACCAAGTACCTTTGTGGAGGACGATCAATTGGAGAGGAAGCATGTTGCCAAATCATTTCCAGATGTCTAAAACATGTCTTAAACATGTGTTACACATGCTTTAAACATGGTTAAAGCATGTTTGAAACATTTCCCTACTTTTTAACCCCATTTGAACTTCAATGATAGGACTGTTGGGGTGTCCATTGTCGTGGCATCCACAAAAGTAACTCAGGAGGGAAAACAACACGCAGACACAATTAGTCGTCGATTCCCCAGAAAGTATGGGTGTGTATATATGTATATATATATATACACATATATATATATATATATATATGTATGAGTGGGGGGGAAGACAAGAACCCAGAAGATATGGGACAGTGCGGGGACTCCTGTTGTTTGTGTCTATTCAATTGGGTGTCCCAGGGCCCCTTCAGTAACTACACGCCTGCACCGATCTGGCCGGGCCCATCCTGGGCCCAGGATCGGCGTATGTGCCCTCCTGCCCTAGGCAGGAGGGCGTACGCACCGATCCTGGGCCCAGGGGGATCCTGGCCAGGGTCGGTGTTGGGCGTATAGCTGGTGCCCTCCTGCCCTATCGTCTACCCCCGATTTGGGTCCCACATCCTGCGGCCCATCGGCAGTCCCGCTCTATCGGCGACTGGGGTCACCAAGCCTCTTGGTGCTATAGGGGCACTCGTGATGCGTCCAGCCGGGGGACGCCTCCAAGCCTCGACACACTCCGAGCGGAAGCTTGGGGGAGGCAGGGGTCCGCCGCAGTCCCTTCTGCATCGCAGCGCCTCCTTCGGCAGCAAGTCATGGGAGCCTGGTGTGCCCTTTCAAATTTCGTCGTCTTTAGCGTCGGCTGGCGTCGATCAGCGTCTGGGAGTCGATGACACAGCGCTGGTTTGGCGTCGGCCAGCGTCGATGAGCGTCGATGTAGCGTCGATGTAGCGTCGGCTAGCGTCGATTCGCAAGAGCCGACAAGATGGGTCTGACAGGCTCCCATGGGTTGCCACCGGAGCCTCCTGCGTGCTAGAAGGACGTGTGACTCAAAGGGGGTTCTCCAGTCAGGAGGGGAAAAAACACACAGACACAATTCATCGTCGACTCTCAAGAAAATATGGGAAAATCTGGGAAGTGGGGGGGAAGACAAAACCCCAGAAAATGTGGGAAAATAAGGGGAATCCTGTTATTTGTGTGTATTTACGTGTGTGTGTCCTGGGGCCCCTTCATCCAGGCTCTTGCGGGCCCGGGCCAAACAGCAGATGGCCTGAGCATTCCAGGACGGCCCAAGAGGGCCCCAGGACTTTCGAGGATGGTCCGAGACGCCTCCCGGCGGTTCAAGAGGTCGCCAATGTGGCTTGCAAAGCAGCCCAGCCAGGGCCCGAAGATGGGCCACGACGAGAAGGGTGAGCACTAACAGCACGCTCTGTCGCTGCTCAGCGAGATGGCGGCTGCGGAGTGGGAGCCAGACGCTATCAGCTATAGCGCTGGGGTCGTCGCGTGCGAGAAGGGCGAGCAGTGGCGGCAGGCTCTGTCGCTGCTCAGCGAGATGGTGCAGGCGAAGTTGGAGCGCAGCGTCGTCAGCTACAGCGCTGGGGTCAGCGCGTGCGAGAAAGCCAACTGTGTCAACTGTCTTGGCCTCGGTGGGATCTGCCTCTTCCCTGGGAAGAGCTCTGAGCGCTTATGATGGGCCTGGTCTCTTGCCATATGCGAGCTCTCCGCTGATCTCCGATGTATTTGAGAGGCCTCGTGCATGTGTGCAACGTCGGGACCAGCGCGTCCGAGAAGGGCGAGCAGTGGCAGCAATCAGAGTCGATGTTCAGCGTGATGGTGCAGGCGATGTTGGAGCCCGGTGTCAGCCGCTGCCACACCGCGACCAACGCGTGCGAGAAAGGGAAGCCGTGTCAGCGGCCCCTGTCCCTGCTCGACGAGATGTGGCAGGCGAAGGTGGATTGTCACGACCTGAGCTTCAACGCCAGTATCAGCATACGCGGTAAGCGTGGTGAGTGACAGTAGTGTTTGTTGCGCTGCTGAGCGAGATGTGTCAGGAGCATGCTGGAATCTAGAGTGATCAACTATGCTAGGACCTTCGCGTGGGACAGGTGAGCATCGGCAACACATCCTGTCGTTGGTCAGCCAGGTGGTGGAGGCAGAGTTGGAGCAGGGGCCAGTGGCACCGTGTCTTGCCGCTGTTCAGCGAGCTGCCACGCGCGACGTTCGAGCCGACCTCATCATCTGACGCAGCGCCGCAGCGTCGGGCTCCGCGATGCGGCACGAGCGCGCCGTGGCAGAACGCCCCTGCGCTGCTCGGCGAGAACTGTGGAGGCGGAGTCGGAGCCCAAGGTCGTCAGCTGCAGCGCGGGCTCGGCCCGCGTGGGAAGGGGGGGGGCAGTGTCCGCGGGCGCCGCTGCGGCTCGGCGGGGCGCGGGCGGCGAAGGTGGAGCGTGGCGTGCCCTCGTCCGCTGCGGCGCCGCGGCCAGCACGCGCGAGAGCGGCGGGCAGAGGCAGCACGGCCTTCCTGCTGCTCCGCGAGACCGCGCGAGCTTGGGGCCCGCGGTCCTCGGCTGCAGCACCCGGGTCGGCGCGCGCGGGAGGGGGGCGGCAGGCAGCGCCGTAGGGGAGAGGGCTCCTGTGGAAGGCCTGGCGCTGCAGCGCAGGCAGCGTGGCGACCCCGGCGCGCGCAGTGAAGCTGGCACTGTGCACAGACGACGCCCGCGATGCGCGCCCGGTGCCGGAGAGGAGTTCTTTTCACGTTATCCCCAGAGCCCTCGCCCGCTTCCCTGGGGCCAGACTTTCATCGCGGGTGCAGTCAACCCGCATAGTAAGGATGGGCAACCTTCCTAAGGGTAACCACCTTGCGTCCTTGCCTCGTCGGTCCATCCTCGGCCGCTTGCGTTAGCCGCGCCCCGCGCGAGAGGCTTCGAGATGGGCGCCCTTGCGTCCTTCTCGCGCATCCTTCTGATACGGGCCGACAGTACATTTTTTCTGATGATGGTCTGGGGGCCCTCACTGGGCACTTGGACCGGACGGAGCTATAGGACGAGGATAAAGCCGTTCCAGAGGGTCCCGGAACGCTCTCGGAGCGTTCCCCAGAGCGCTCTGATGAGAAGGCCGCGGCGCCCGAGACGTTCTTCAGAGCCGCCAGATCTCAGAGATTCTCGGTTTGCATCACCACCCACCGCACCACCCCAACCCAACCCGAAGACCCATTTTGCCTTCCATTCCCCAGGGGGGGGGGGGTCGGGGGAACATTGAAAAAAGCACGCATGAAACCCGAACTTCCCCAACCCGAAATTTGTGTCTCTGGGTGGAGTTGGGGAGGTCTGGTGGGTAGCGGGTAGCCATGATCCTCATCCGATTCTAATCATCGTCCTGGCTTCGTCTTACCCGAGGCCGTGGTGTTGATATGGCTTGCCGTCGTGGCTTTTTGGCCGCGCGAGGCCCAGATGCTCGGGTCTCCAGTGGCCTCTCGAGGCCACCTGGGGGGCCCTGGAGGCACCCGTGAGCCCCTCGGGGTCTTCAGAGGGGCAGAGGGCGTCCGGAGGCCTGAGTCCTGAGTCCTCCAGGCACTCCCCCCCCACTTCCTCCTCCTCCTCCCCTCCTCCTCCTCCCTCCTCCTCCTCCTCCTCCTCCTCCATCCTCCTCCTCCTCCTCCTCCTCCTCCTCCTCTCCTCCTCCCCTCCCCCTCCTCCTCCCCCTCCGCCTCCTCCTCCCCCTCCTCCTCCTACCTTCTCCTCCTCCTCCTCCTCCTCCTCCTCCTCCTCCTTCTCCTCCTCCTCCTCCACTTCCTCCCTCCTCCTCCCTCCTCCCTCCTCCTCCTCCTCCTCCTCCTCCTCCTCCTCCTCCTCCTCCTCCCCCTCCCCCTCCTCCTCCCCTCCTCCTCCTCCTCCTCCTCCTCCTCCTCCTCCTCCTCCTCCTCCTCCTCCTCCTCCTCCTCCTCCTCCTCCTCCTCCTCCTCCTCCTGCTGAGAGAGCCGAGGAGGGAGGTTCAGAGGAGGAAGAGGAACCCCTACCGCTACGCACCTTTCCCGTAGTTGTTCCCCTTTTTTTCGGCCTCCTGGGAGGCCCTCGTCGCCACCGCTGGGAGGAGGAGGAGGAGGAGGAGGAGGAGGAGGAGGAGGAGGAGGAGGAGGAGGAGGAGGA